TTCCAATTTTTTAAAAAATTTTTGATTTTTTTTTTTAAAAATTGGTTTTTTTTTTATTAATTTTCTTTTTAATATTTTTTTTATTTTTAAAAAACATTTTTTTTTTCTTCTTGTTTTTTTTTTTTTAAAAGGTGGGTGGAAAAGATTTTTTGTTTTTTGAAGTATTTAAAAAGGTTGCTGGAGGAGGAAAAAAAATTTAAAGTTTTATTTTTAAAAAAAAAAAAAAATTTTAAAACAAAAAATAAAAAAAAAATCCAAAAAAAAAAAAAAAGGTTAGATTAAAAAAGTGAAATTTATTTTTTTTTTTTTTTTTAACACAAAAAAAAAAAAAAAAAAAAACTCTACCGTAGAAGTCAAAGATTTTAATTTGTAAACGCGATTTGCCCGTGATATTTTTCACTAGAAAATAACGCAAAGGAATACCAAGTAACGACCAAACACCATTTTTTGCAACGAAAACTACTCGAATCTGTGCGTGTTTGAAACGAAATCTATATATTCAATTTTGCATTTATCTAGTTTTTGTGCTTATAACGTTATTATTTATTTTCTTGTCTCTTTAGCGTTCATATAAAATTGACTTATCGGATTGTTTAATAAACTATTACCAACCAAACAAATTAACAAAACACCGTGAAAAACAGATTTTTTTGTGTAGAAAGAAAGGAGGAACGTTAACAATGACGCATCCTTCCGTGCAAAGAAGTTATCAACCAACCTCTCCGTATTATTCTGAATTGCCAACTCCTGCAACGGCTTCATCTCGTCCAACACAACAACAACAACTCCAGCCGGCTCAAAACCTTCCAGGAACTTTTCCAAATACTCGTGTATACCACCCACCACCACCATCGACAGATGCTACGTCTTTACCACAATATCAACTCAACCCTCATCAGCTACCAAATACACATTCCCATGTACCACTTGCCCAATCGCCAACCTCGCCACCACTTACACCTTTTATGCCAGACATGAATGGCACTAAAGCACCTGGATCACGTCCAGAGATAAAAGGTGTACTTCGGAAAGAAAGATATGAATATAAAGCACCTTGGCCTGTGTACGGCTTAGATTGGTCAAAACGACCTGGTGACAAATCATTTAGACTTGCCTTAGGAAGTTTTATCGAAGAGAATATTAACAAGGTGTGTATTTTCACTATAGTAATTTTTTCTCACAAAACATTTTGTCATTCATTACATACGTTGAGGAAATTGAATTTCGAACAGCTTCAAGATATTATTAATTTACAGTTAATCTAAGAATTCATTTAGCCAAATTAAGGATGAAATGTTGTTAATTGCATTAGCACTTTACGACTCAATTAATTACATGAATTGCCAAATTTTAATTAGACGAATCACCATATTTAATTCACTTATACTTGTCAGATTTAATTAATCATGATGAGATAATAATTCGATATTTGTTCCGTTGATAAAAGCTTCAAATTATCACACTATCCGAATTTGCCTATGACGATCCTTATCATCGTAATCCCAATGTCGACCTTGTCAAAATTGCAGAAACTGATCACCGCTATCCTATTACCAAAGTATTATGGGAACCATTCAAGGTTTGTTATAAGATATTGACTAATGAAATTTCGAGATAATTTTTTTTCTCCAAATTTAATTATTATATTCTGTCTGTTAGGGTGGTTTGAAAACTCCAGATTTATTAGCAACAGCCGGTGATTATTTAAGATTATGGGAGATTGAAGATGATTTTAATAATACGAGCAATACAATTGGAGCAAATAATTACACAGGAGTTAGGCAGCAACGGTTAAATCACAAAAGTATGCTGACTAATGTAAGACAATTTCTTAATTTATATA